CACATAAACTCATGATTCAAAGTCAAACTATTGTTTTCGAATTGTGATTTACCCGCGCTGCATCGCGCGGGTACACCACTAGTATATATATATATATATATATATATATATAGTATAATTTAAATCTTTCACATGACCAAAGCTTCTGGTTCTACTAACCAGAGCCTCTGGTTCATCTACAAAAGCCAACCAGAGCTCTTCTGGTTAAGATGTAAAGAGCAATCAGAGCCCCTTTGGTTTGTCTTTCTTTGCCAAAGTCATTTTGTACAAGTAATTTTCTAAGTTAGAATAAGAGCAAGAAGTCTTATGAACAATTTGAAATACAATTTTTGACACAGAACCTCTATGCAATATATATACAGAGCCTCTGTTCCAGGTAAAAGTTTTGTAAAAGACTTGTATCATAGTCAAATATTATTCAGAGCCCTTCTGGTTCTATGTGAGGAATGACCAGAGCTCCTCTAGTTCTTTTCAAGGAACAACCAGAGCTTTTCTGGTTCCTCATAATTCGTACACTTTGTGAAAAGCATGGTTATCCAAAACCTCTGGCCATAAGCCAAGTTTTCCCCTTCTCAATAACATCATTACTATCATTTCTGATAAGAGCAACATTCCTGAGTCCTCAAATCACAAAGAAGTAAGAACTCAAAACTATTGCAATCTTAAAAGACATAATGGTAAAAGCTATAATAGCGATCACACATACAAATGTCACCCTTATATCCAAAGGTACACCTCTCCTTGCTATGTCACCCTTATCCCATGGAACACCTCTCCTGGATATGCCACCCTTATTTCCTCATCAAAATCTATAAATTGTTTCCAAACAAAATAGACCGAAGTCATAACGTCTTGAAGGAACATCGTTTATAGTTTTAACCAATAACAGTTTCAAAACAGTTTTGTTTCAAAATTTTGAAACTCAAGAACCAACAGTTCTTTAATATAATTTTCCAAACTCAAAACCTCTTTAATCCTGAAAAATAGGATATCGTCAACTGTTTAATAGAAGCAAAATCTTTTTTATTTTTCAAGAATAGTTCCAAAACCCAGATTTATAAAGATCAAATCAACTGTTCAAGCAATTACCTTTCTTCATCAAAATCAACTATCAAAGTTCATATATTTCGAATAACACCATATAAAGATTTTAATAACAAATACTCACCTTATGCACAAACTTGATGATAGATCACACAACAACTTCTTCAAGTAATCACAGAATCTTCAAATCACTTTTATGCAAGTTTTCTTTCAAGAACACACCTTCACTGCCACACACACACTTGGATTTCCCAAAAAGATAAGATAAGATTGATCTTATCTCTCTTATATATATATATATATATATATATATCAAAGGCGGTGTATGGTTTTAATATTATAAAACTCTTAAGACGGTGGGGGTTTACTTATACTAAACCTCTTTTCTTTTCTTTTTTACCAAAAATATGCATACACATATATTTAACGATTCTTCACGTATGCACAGTAACACATTCACACACACACACACATACACACACACACACACACACATATATATATATATGTATATGATCCATGCATATACTTAAATAAACATGCATATTATCACATATTCGCAGAATAATCACATAAAGATTACCTCGATCATTGCTGCCTTAAATCCCGGTTATCACACTCTGGTTGGTCTTGCTTCTGGTCTCGTGTCTGGAACAGTTATTGAGCAGTTAATGTTCAATTAATGTGCAGTTTTTTTAACTATCCACTACTCCTAATAATAGGCCTTAATTATCATTTCAATTATTTTTTATGAGTATAAATACTTTATGCTTATGTTTTTGGGGATCACGTTTTTGAATAATCCTTACATATTCTACAACAAGTTTGCTCTCTTTTTTGTGCCTAAAAACGAAAGTGCTCTCTTGAGTCTTATCCCATATTGAATTTCGTGTAACCCGGGCATAGGGTTGAAATATCAATTCGAAAAGTGATCTCTTACACGATTCTCAAGTAATCCGGTTCTTGATCGTTTATCCTATTTTATTATTTTTGATAACAATCGAATTGATATTTCGGTGATGTCGGTCATGACCGATTCTGTGAAAGAGGTAACCTCGAAGATCGAAAAGCTGGAGAAGTTTGAAGGAGTCGATTTTAGGCGCCGGAAGAAAAAGATGCATTTTCTGCTAACGATCTTGAAGGTGGTGTATGTGCTGAGTACCCTCATGCCTGAAATAGTGGTGGACAAGACGTTGGAACAGACCCGGAGGAGGAATAAATGGGAGAATGCTGATTAAATATGCAGATGCCACATTTTAAACGGTATGACTAATTTCCTCTTTGACATCTACCAAAATGCGAAAAGTGCGAAGGAATTATGGAATTCCCTTGAGTCAAAATATATTGCTAAAGATGTTTTTATTAAGAAGTTCTTGGTGAGTTATTTTAATCTTTATAAAATGGTTGACTCAAGGCCTGTAATGGAACAATATAATGAAATCCTTCGCATTTTGGGTCAATTCACACTGCACAAAATGAATATGGATGAATCCATTGTTGTGTCGAGTGTGACTGACAAGCTTCCATCATCTTGGAAAGATTTCAGGCACAACTTGAAACATCAAAAGGAGGAATTGTCGATGGTTCAACTTGGTAGCCACTTGCGCATCGAAGAATCTCTTCGGGTGAAAAAAATGGTAAGGACAAGAAAGTTGGATCGGGACAGCCCTTGGTTAACATGATCAAGGAGAAGAAAGCACATTCCTATAATGATAACAAGAAAGGCAAGAAGCGAAAGTTTGATGGACCCAATAAACCCTTCAAAAAGAAGAAGGATTTGGTGTGTTGGAGTTGCAACAAATTAGGCCAATGCAAACGTGATTTTCGGGTTAAGCTTAACGGTGTTGGTACAAGTGGAGAATCTGGAGCTGGATCTATGGACCAAGCTCAAGTGAAAGGACCAAGCTCAAGTGAAAGGACCAAGCTTAAGTGAAAGGAGATTAGGCCTTGACTAACTTCAATTTTGATAAATCCGTCCATGTTTACTATGTTTCACTAATTCCCTAGTCTTTCTATATACTGGATGATGATTGGGCATGGTGGGTGGACTTGGGGGTGACATGCCATGTTTGCAAAGATCGGTGCTGGTTCGAGAAATTGACATCGGTTGAAGATGGATCTATGCTAAACATAGGGAACGAGTCGACTGCACGGATTTGCAAGATTGGAGTAGTTAGTTTAGAGTTCACTTCTGGAAATCATGTTAGGTTGTCTGATGTTTTTTTTTTGTTCCAAGAATTAGGAAAAATCTTATTAGTGGAGCTCTTCTAAATTGTTTAGGTTTTAAACAAGTGTTTGAATCGGATAGGTTTATCCTATCTCGATATGGTAGATTTGTCGGTTTTGGGCTTTATTGTAATAAAAAGTTTCGTTTAAATGTGATGATTAATATTTTAAATTTTGAAAATTATGCATTTTTATCGTCATCATCTTCTTTTAAAATTGACTCGATGACTTGGCATGCAAGGTTAGGTCATGTCAATTTTAGAAGAAGCATGAAATGTCAAAGGATGGATTGATTCCAGCCTTCGATATTTATATAGAAAAATGTAAGACTTGCATGCTTACGAAAGTTACAAAACAACCATTTCCAAACGTTGAAAGAAAATCGACTATTTTGGAACTTGTACACAATGATCTATGTGATTTTTATTGCACTCCTTCATTGGGTAATAAAAGGTATGTTGTCACATTTATTGATGACAACACTTGGTATTGCTACATCTATCTTTTGCATGCCAAAGATGAAGCATTGGATAAGTTTAGAATTTACAAAATTGAGGTTGAATTACAACTGGTTAATTTGATTAAGTGTCTCAGAACTGATCGAGGAAGGGAATATATGGATCCTTAATACTTCCAGTCAATTGGTATTATTCACTAGACAACGAAACCATGCACGCCTCAACAAAACGGGGTTTCCGAACGTAAAATTCGAGTTTTAAAGGAAATGGAAAACTCGATGCTTTCTTACTTGGGATTGAGTGAGGGATTTTGGGGAGAGGCCATGTTAACGGCCTGTTATGTTTTGAATAGAGCTCCAAACAAACGGAATGAAACCACCCCATATGAACTTTGGTTCAAGAAAACTCCAAATTTAACTTATTTTCGAATTTGAGGTTGTCGGGATGTTGTGCAACTACCCGAACCCAATAGGAAGACTTTGGATGAACGTGGAATTGATTGTATATTCATTGGATATGCAGAAAATTTCAAGGCTTATAGGTTCTATGTAATAGAAACCTAACGATTCGGTATCGATAAATACCGTTATTGAATCGTGGGATGCGATTTTCGATGAGATGCGTTTTTCATAAATGCAAAGGCCTAAGAACCTGATTCCAATAATAAAGTGCAAAATCCATAAAGTTTGGTTGGTGTTTCAAGTCGCGAAACACAACAGGTCCGGAGAAGCAAACAAAGCCGAATTGCCAAAAATTTCGGTCCTGATTTCCAACTCTATTTGGTGGAAGGATCAAGGGATGAGCCTTGGCTTCAATACTCTTATTGTTACAATATTGAGGATGACCCAAAGACTTTCCAAGAAGCGATGGAATTTCGAGATGCCATCTTCTGGAAGGAAGCAATTGATAACAAATGTCATCAATTCTTGAAAATAACACCTGGGTGTTATCAGATTTACATCTAGGTTCTAAACCTCTTGGATTCAACTGGATCTTACAAAAGAAGATGAATTTGGATGGGATGATTG